ACATACACACACATACACACACACACACACACACACACGTACACGCAAGCGAACTCAAATTTAAGCTACGAAAACACAGATTACCAGTTGAAAAAGATCACACTTGTCCTCAGAAACAACACTTTACTTTTGAACAGATCAACAAGTCTTCCTCTTTGGTCTTTTTCCCTGAGCATCTCCTCTTCACTTTCATCCTGTTCTTTTGACACAGCAGGGGAAAGGGGCGACACTACCTTGACCAAAGAAACGCTCTCTTTCCCGCCGTTTATCCTCGTTTCCTTTTCTTCGAGTCTCTCTCTTCCCGAAGGCATGACTGCTTCTATGACGTCATCCGGTACACTTGTCCTGTTGACAGCTGCCGCCTTTGCTACCGTCTCTCTCGCCGGGCCATAGAGGCCCCTCTGTATTTGCCATCTTGGAGACTCCGGGATGAACCTGGGAGGAATCAAACCAATGGAAAATTAAAAAAATGTTGGGCCCCCTTCCGTTCACTTTTTTCGGTTTCTCTCTTTATACAAAAGCAAACATAAAATCTAATTGACCTTCTATTTGATTTCAGCCATGGGTATACGCGGGTTATGAAGATTAATCGTTGTTACCATCATCATCAGCTTCATTTTTGTTTAAAGTGCAGGTGTTTTCTACACCCCTATTCACATCATCTTTGATCATTTAGAAGACAGGCCTTGACCCTACCTGTCAGGACCAACTCGAACTATGAGGTATACAACGTCTCTGCAGAAAGGCCGAGATACTCATAAAAATTCTCCGCATACGCATACGGGATTCGAACTCGGTTTTTAAAGTTGTGTGACAGCAAAGTACTTTGCTCCTTATTTCCTATCAAACATAATATGATGTTGTCCTTATTTCTCTTCCTCTTTTATGTTTGTTATTCTATTGCATCACCTCTAATCTTTAACACTTCAGAGGGGCATACCAAAAGGTTTTTTTTTTACCTGACCATGAAGAGACCATGAAGAAATAAAGGTAGAAAGCTGAAATTTGGTACTAAGCTTAGTCTTTCCTTATGTAGTCGCCTTACAGAGTTATACACGTTTGCCATCTGTGCATGACCTTGAAAAAGACCTTGGGAATAGATGACCTTCTCTATGTCAGAAAACCAGCCCTCTACCGCTTGTTCGACCTTATCATCACCTATTTTACTCAAAAATGTTATCACAGCATAGGATGGGCAATCAGTTCCATATACGGCATGCATCGCCGTAAAAATAATCTGTAGTTGCTTGCCTTGCAAGAACAAATGCTTCATTACTGCACTACGCTCAATTTCCTCCATTTTTATGTTGAAACTGGAAAACAACATACCCCCATTCACTTACAGTGCACTGGTGGTAAAAGCAGTAATCTGAAATTCCCCAAAATTTACAAGCATTCTAGGAAGATGATTGTTGGCTTTCACCCCAAATTTCAGCTTTCTACCTTTATTCCTTCATGGTCAGGTAAAACAACTTTTGGTATGCCCCTCGTATATGACCCTAATGTGTTGCAAGTGCCGTAAAACTCTTACTAAAACAAACGCACAGAAACGCTAGACTACAGAGGTCATTTCATCAACTTCATCATGCACAAAATGAGCACACACCACAAACTAAATCATTCTTTCTTTCCTACATCTCTGTCCTGGGCTTTCCCCATGTATGTTCATGTTTTCCCAGGTAGACTAAATACGGGGGCTCTCGTGGCCTACAGGTTAAAGCGTTCACCTCTCATTCAGTAGGTCCGGGTTTCGAATCCGCATAGGGACGGAATATTTTCTTGTCTAATATTATTGTCTCCTTTCAAATCCTTTCCTGCCCTCTAACAATGTTCTGTCGTCTGCTTTCGTCTCCACTTCCTGTCGCCACCCCCTCACCTCCTTAGCCCCCTCTTCTGGGCTCTTGACTCTTTCTTCAGCCTTTCTACTGCAGCTATTCCTTGGCTCCTTCTTACTGCTGTCTTTCAGCCACACTCCTGATCTTATGGTAGGAAAGATCTACACCTAGCCTTCTCGGAAAAGGGCGAAAAATCTCGGAGGTTAAGTGTGCGAGTTGCGCACGTTATCGGTCGCCACTTGGGCAAAATTCAAAAGTTCCTACCAACTGAAAATGTTCGGTGTGTCCCGCGCGCTCATAGGACCTCTGCAGTTGCGAGCGCCGTAAAACACTTACGAATAACAAAAACACAAAAAAAAACCCCAAAATGCAGTTGACCCTGCTCTAACAGTCACCTGTCCAAGACAATCATCTGAGCAAACAACTACTTACACCCCCCCCCCCCAATCTTGCTGTCATTTAGATTGTCTAGTTCAGCCAAAGACAATGTATCATTATACATCTGAGCACAGGTGTTAGTGCCTCCAACTACCCCTTGTTACATTACTATTTGTAATACTTTTCACCTAACCCTTTGCTATTAGAGATAAACGTTGATTAAAAGATCACAAACGTCACCTCCTCCCCCTCTCGAAAAAAGTGCATGTAAAATTAACATAACAACATAACAATTACAAAAATACCTTACTGATACAGTAAATTTGTGAAACTCAAGGTAGCAGATGATAAAGAACACATACCACCAGGTGAGGTAGAACAGGGCCAAAGGTATGGTTATGATCAGCTCCAGGTGAACCCAGTGGTGCGCAAGGTAAGCCAGGCCTGCAAGAGCGACCACACCAGAGGAGAAAAACAGCTGAATCAGCATGGCCGTGTACGTGCGCTTGGACGGTCCAACCAGCTCGATGCCTAAAAACAATAATAAATTTTGATAATGTCACTGGAATTAAAGCAAAACATTTTAACGAGAAACGCTAATGATTTATTAATGAATTATTAGCTTTTTTTTTGTTACAGATATATAAAGCAAAACATTCATGCCCGGGATCGAATTTTTGCTTAACCAGCGACTGGCGGCAGACAAGAATAGCCAAGACATTCCGGTAAAATGGCTGCGCGGGTTGCCCGCCATCAACCACTGGTAAAACGTGTTGACTTCGGACAGTTTCGAAATAAACAAT